CCAAAAAATTATAAATGACTTGGGGTTGCTATAAAAATGCTCTAAACAATGAAAGGAAGACATTAGAACATAAATAACCAGGAGGGTCATTAGAACATCCACTACTAAAAGGACTTCCATCCGCAAAAGTAAGAGTCAATAAGTACATGAAGGCTCAAACAAGCTGGGAAACTACTCTCACATCTCATGATTAGTCTCCCAGGTAGCCTTCTCAACTGGATGATGCCTCCAATGGACCTTTATCACAATACTGGTTCTTGAACGCCACCGTTGCAGATCTTTTGGCTAGAATAGAAAATAGCTCATTCACAAAGGTCAAATCATCATCCAACTCAACCACCCATGAGACTCATCAGGAACATACTAGTGCAGTATCAAAACAAAGAAAACTGGGTGAATAGCTAAAAATGCTAGAGGTAAGGCCTACTCACTAGAATTAGGTAAGAATCATAAGTAGAGAAATGAATGCACCAGAAGTGCAACCCCAATGGGAGGTCACCAATACTGAGTTCAGAGAGGCTATCAGAATGTTAAGTTAAGTTGTGACCAATCAAGCTGGACAGAGAGAGAACCGACAGGAAGTGACTGATACTTCAAGGATCCATGAGTTTCTAAGAATGAATCGTCCAAGCTTTACTAGTTCAAGTGTCACTGAGGATCCATTTTTTTTTTTTAGAGAAACTGCATAAAGTGTTTGAGGTTATGCACGTTGTCGATGCTGAGCGAGTGGAACTAGCTTCCTATCAAGTGAAGAGTGTAGCTAGGACTTGGTTTGACCAGTGGAATAAGGGTAGAGCTGAGGGTGCACTGATTTTTAGTTGGGCTATGTTTAACGAGGCCTTCTTGGGGAGTTTCTTTCCCCGTGAACTGAGAGAAGCCAAAGTATGAGAATTCCTTACCTTTAAGCAAGAACCTACGAGTGTTCATGAGTACAATTTGAAGTTCACCCAAGTTTCCCCATATGCTCCGGAGATGGTTGCAGATATAAGGAGTAGGATGAGTCTGTTTGTTGCTAGGTTGTCTCGTCTATCAAGTAAGGATGGCAAGTCAGCTATGCTAATAGGGGACATAGACATAGATAGACTCATGGTTTATACGCACGGGTTAAGGAAGAGAAGCTGAGGGATATAGAAGAATTTAGAAACAAGAAAACTAAGACAGGAAATGAGCCGGGGCAACAAAAGAGTAATGTGAACCGGTCTTCTTTCTAACAAAAACAAAAGGGACCTGCTCCATCATCTGCTAGTGCACCTGCACCAAGGAACAAAGGTGAGTACAATAGTCAGAATTTAAAGAATTTTAGAGCTAGACCTGCTTAGTCTCAAGTAGTGTGGCATAAAGAGGTAATTGGTCTCCTACATGTGCTAAGTGTGGTAGGAACCACCCAGGTGTTTGTCATGATGGCTCTACTGTTTGTTTCATGTGTGGTCAAGAGGGTCACTTCATGAAAGAGTGCCCTAAGAACATGCAAGGTAATGGGAATAGGGGCAATAAAGCCCAATCTTCTTTAGTTGCTCCACCAGACAGGGCTGTACCTATAGGAGCTACTTTAGGGACTGGCGGAGGAGCAAACCGTCTATATGTTATCACTAGTCTCCAAGAGCAAGAGAATTCTCCAGATGTTGTCACTGGTATGATCAAAGTCTTTACTTTGATGTTTATGCTTTGCTAGATCCTGGAGCGAGTCTATCTTTTGTGACTCCTTATGTTGCGATGAATTTTGATGCTCTTCCTGAGAAACTTATTAAGCCCTTCAGTGTTTCTACACATGTTGGTGAGTTTATTCTAGCTGAAAGAGTCTATCGTGATTGTACTATTTTCGTCAATCACAAGAGCACCATGGCTAATTTAGTTGAGTTAGACATGGTAGATTTTATGTCATTCTAGGTATGGACTGACTTTATGTCTGTTATGCCTCAGTCGATTGTAAAACTCGAGTTGTTAAGTTCCAGTTTCCTAATGAGCCAGTCTTTGAGTGGAGGAGTAGTTCAGCAGTGCCTAAGGGTCGTTTTATTTAATACCTTAAGGCGAGAAAGTTAGTTTCCAAGGGTTGTGTCTATCTCTTAGTCTGAGTTAATGATTCTAGTGTTGAGACACCTCCTATTCAGTAAGTTCAAGTCGTGAGTGGGTTTCTAGAGGTCTTTCCAGACGATCTTCTCGGAGTCCCTCCTAAGAGAGAAATAGATTTCGGTATAGATCTTCTTCGCGATACTCGTCCTACATCTATTTCGTCATATAGGATGGCACCAGCAGAGTTAAAAGAACTAAAAGAGCAGTTGAAAAATCTCCTTATGAAGGGCTTTATTCGACCAAATGTCTCACCTTGGGGCGCTTCTATCTTATTTGTGAGAAAGAAGGATTATTCCCTTAGAATGTGTATAGATTACCGTCAGTTGAACAAGGTTACTATCAGGAATAAGTATCCTCTTCCGAGAATTGATGTCTATTCGATCAACTTCAGGGTGCCACTTGTTTTTCCAAGATAGACCTCAGATCTGGCTATCATCAGTTGAGAGTAAGAGAAAGTGATATTCCTAAGACAACTTTCAGAACCCGCTATGGTCACTATGAGGTCCTAGTTCAGTACAAGGGAGAAGGGATTTTCCAACAAAATATTTTGTTGCAATCTATTCAATGTTGTTGCCAAAAGTACTTTTAGTAACAAATTTTTTTCGTTGCACGTTGTTGCCTAAAATGCTATTGGGAAATGTTTTGCAACAACAAAAAAATATTGTTGTAAAAAGTTAACTTACGCAACAAAAAAAAGTTATTACCATAAATTATACTTTGTTGGTAAAAAGTACACGATTGTTGTTTATGTAAATCTTTAGAAACCAAAAATACTGTTGTAAGAAATTATTATTTTTCCCAATAAAATTAGTAGTTGCAAATAATGGACAGAAAAATCGGTTAACAATATGTTATTTAGACTTTTAGCAACAACCATTATTGTGGCTATAATTACAGTTTTTTTTATCAACAATTAGTCATCACATTTAAGCTATTTGTAAATAAATATTTCTGGTAAATCTTTAGTAACAACTTATTATTAGTTACATGTATAATTTACATTTAAAGTTAATAAAATTCATGAATTCATATATAAATTAATGCATATATATATATATATATATACATACATATATATATATATATATACATACATATATA